TTTGGTCATTAATGCACTTGAATTGTTGTCCAACATTGATATTTTAATCAATATGAAATTACTAGGAGAAAATAATAAGACGCATGCGTGTAATGGCTCCCATGTAGTATTCCACTCTAGCCCCTATGTATTGATTAAAATGAATTCTTACCTTTTTAAACTCCTCCACTTTTGCCGTAATAGGTGGATGAGAGTTTTAATTCCACTCCATCTATAGCCATCCGATCAAATAAATTCATGGTTAAGTTTTATTCTTTTTTCCTCTCCTGGAGCTCCTATCTCACCGGAACCGCACCCTATATATATATATATATATATATATATATATATATATATATATATATATATATATATATATATATATATATATATATATATATATATATATATATATATATATATATATATATATATATATATATATATATATATATATATATATATATATATATATATATATATATATATATATATATATAGAGAGAGAGAGAGAGAGAGAGAGAGAGGCCTGATCCTGTCCAGCCGGAGGGACAGGACCCGCCGTCCGGCCGTCGCCATTTGAGGCCCTTCCCGATGGAGTTTTTTGCTGAATTTTTTTGAGCATGTTCTTCATGAAGTCTAGTTTATCCATACCAAATTTCAGCTAAAAATTCAATCGGGAAGGCAGTGAAATGATTTTTGGAAGTGACCTGCGCAGTTTATATACATATAAAACGCAGTTATCTTCCAAAAATCATTTGAGTGCCTTCCCGGTTGAATTTTTAGCTGAAATTTGGTATGGATAAACTAGACTTGATAAGGAACATGCTCAAAAAATTATATCAAAAAATTCCACCGGTAAGGGCCTCTGATGGCCTTGGCCGGACGGTGCCTCCCGTCCCTCCGGAGGGACCTGATCTTTTCTATATATATATATATATATATATATATATATATATATATATATATATATATATATATAATATTACACACAGTACTTGGTCAATAACGAATATAACCTAATCAACCGTTTATGCAAAATGTATGATATTTCATAAACTATTTTAAAAACCTCATAAAAATCTCGCATAAAAATGTTCTACAAAAATAATACGTAGTATTGTTTTAACATTGGGCAAAAGCTTCGCGCCTTGCGCGAACAAATGCTACTAATATATACTAGACGAAGTACCCGTGCGATGCACGGGGTATATCTAGAATTGAATAGCCAGTAATTTATGTAAAATTATGTTTTATGATGGTATATAATGTGTAATTTTTCATATAAAAAAAGACGATAGGATTTATATGATGTAACTTTTATTATATACGTTGAAGTAGCTATAAGAAAATAAAATTTTGGATCGTATCATAAATTGAAAAGTAAAATAGAAATAAATGATACTCCGTAATATATATAAAAAGCTCTACGTGACAATTAAATAACTTGGTAGTATAATTGTTAGTGAGTGTCATGAAACTTTATATATACATAGTAAATAGAACAATCATATATGCTGACGATGTTAAAAAACGGTTCATAAAATTTATGAACTTTATAGATCATATTATTGATGGTGTAAATAGTACGATCCTCATCATCACATATAAGAATCTTCATCTCACTCATTGAGATGACCCTTGACGTGACAACATACAATTGACTATACACAAAGACATGGCTCGCAAAATATATTTCCACTTCATGCAAAGATTGTCCTTATCTTTTGTTTATTATCATGTCAAATGTAACAACGATTGAGAAATGCTTGTGTCGATATTTGCAAGGAATTATGCTATCTGACGGCACCAATGATAGTCATTGAATAAGAGTGAAATGATAAATTAATAATTAATTAAGTTCTTATTATAAATGTATTGAAATTCTCTTTTAACGTGTGTAGTATCCATATATGATATGCGTGAAATACTCTTTCATTAAATTAACGGAAAATCTATAAAATTAGTCCAAAATATCTTTTAATATGAGATTAAACCCATTACCATTTCATGAGGGGGTGCATATATATTATATTCTAACATTTCACATTAATTCATTTCCGTTCCTTTCCACTTCCAACATAAACATTCTATATTGAATCTTATTTAATCAATCAACAGCTCAATACATGCATAAGATGGAAATAAATGCTCCTTTCTAAATTACTTTGGATCTACACTCTTGGGCGGGATGCATATATATTCTAGTGTTCTACATTAGTTTCACACTAATTCCGTATTATGACATTAGTTTGGGTGGGTTTTCCCCCCAATAGTTGCCCAAACTTTGTTACCTTATATTTTCTCGGTTCATAACTAAATAAGCGCGCAAGATATTGAATTTTACACTACTCACATGTTCTAACGCGTATAATGCATTTATTTGTTACCTAAAATTAGGTGGTGTCAAATATTCACTTACCCGCCAGTTTATATAAAATTGAATAAGCATTAATATGATCAATTCAATTGAATTTTAGAATGAAAATTATTACATTTAAGGTTCCAAATTTTCAGCTTTGTACGTAGTATATATGTATGGTAAGAAAAACAATTTCATTTTTGGAACAAAGAAAACAATAAGCGGCTGATTTTATTTGGAAGGATAGCTAGGCGGCTGAATGCACGGAGCATTATAACTTTATTTACTAACGTACACCTAACTTATTTAATCATCAAATTTACTTTTTTCATTACTTTCCTATTTTATCCATATTTTGGGCGGGATTTTTCCCTCCAGTTGTGGTGCAACGACTGTTACTTTATATTATATATATAAAGATACATGCCTAAAACTATAAACAAAAAAATTCCACTAATACAATATTATTGCTCTTTGAAAAGTACTGGACAAAAATGTGGCTTTGTTCTTAGTAATATTTTTGTCCATGACTTTTTTAGTAACATTTTAGGAAAAAACTCAAATACAAATAGGATTAAAATGTGCCTGAAGACATGCCTAAAAATAGGATTGAGTTCATTACCTAAATAGGATTAAAACATGCCCAAATCACAAATAGGATTATCATGTATTAAGTTCCTAAATAAGATTAATCATGTTTATTAAGACAAAAATAACCCTATAGATTTTCGGACTAAAATAAATATATAATAAAAATAAAAAACATAAAAAATTAGAAAAATAATAATAATAATAATAATAATAATAATAATTTAAAATTAAAATAAAAATAAAAAACGCAAAAAATAAAAATACAGGCCTTTGCTGCCGTCTCTGTCACCCCAGCACCGGCCACCAACTCCAATCGCTGGAAAAATGCCAACATGCATTAGTAATGTCACATTGGCGGCAGTTTTGGTGAATATTTTGGCATTATCAAAGAATAACAATGTCATTTTTGGCACTTTAAGGAAAAATGACTTTTTTCACATAAAACAACATTTCTTATTAATCAGAGGTGGTGGTGCTAAGTGGTGGGAAACACATCCCAATTTTTTTAGTTTTATATATGTTTTCACTATTTTTTAATATTTTTGTTTCAAAAAAAATATTTTTTCTTTATTTTTTTTACAAATATTCTATTAATTTTTATTATATTATATTACGAATCTTATTCTTTTCTTAAGATTTTATTATGAATTAAAACATTTTAATAAAACTTATGGTTTAGTCCTATTTGTGAGTGATTTAGGTATTAGAGATGAGTTTTTTCGATTGCTTCTACTTCAAAAAAGTAATTTTGGAGAAAGTATATTATAGTAAAAGTTGGTAGTGTTTGAGATAAAATGATTCCGAAAAAGTAAAATTAGTAGTGTTTGGTAAAAATAAGTGTTTTTTGTGTAATAAAAAAAATGAAAAAACAGTTTAAAGCATCAATCCACATGCTTCTAGTTTTTAGCTTTTAAGTGCTTAATATAAGCAAAAAGCTGTGATTTGAAAACACTTTTTTCAGCTTTTTTAAGACAAAAACTGAAAAACACTTATTTAAAGTTTTTTTTGAAGGAAACTTCTTTAAAGTTTTAGCAAAACATTTCTTTAATCTATTTATGCAATTAAGCCTTCATTCAGTTTTGTTTAGGGTAATATCACGAACTTTATTAACTAATCATATATGGAGTATTCGATATCAAATTTGCCAACCAATTATAGGGAGACAAAGGGAGTATTATTGTAATACTCCCTTTGTCTCCCTATAATTATCTCATTTTTTCATTTTTGGATGCCCCTTTATTATTGTCTCATACCATATTTGACAACATTTGCGTGGCTCTAATTCATTTTTACTTTATTCCTAGTTTATCAACTCATTATCAATCATATGATTCTACTTTTCTTAAAAACTGCATCACTCTCTTCCGTCCCAATAATAGGGGGACGGAGGGAGTAGCACTATTTCATACTACCTATATGTCCTCCTAAGTTAATTGATACAAGAGAAAGTGGCACGGTTATTAATAAAAGTGAATTTATGTGGTTGATAATGAATTAATAAAGTAATACTCCGTAATAAAGTAAGAATGTTTTAGAATCACACAAATTTTACCAAATAAGGTATGAAACAATCTTAGTAGGACGGACTGAAAAGGTAAAATGAGACAATCATAACAGGACGAAGAGGGTATTTATTGTATATACGAGTATTTTATATTCGTATAATCGTATTAATGGCATGTTTAAGATAGTTGGAGGGGGCCACAATGATGATGTCCTCCTATGTAATGTCCTATCACCTATGTGGCTATAAAAAGTTAGATGCATTCAATTAGGATTTTAAAAATTCAATAACATATTAGGTGAACTTTACACTAATGATGAACGTCACTTTTCCATAAAATTCACAATTATGATAATCTGACTTTGTTGGTGAATACTGTATACTTTAATTTATACTCCCTTCATTCCGAAAAATTCTTCTCACTTTGACTTGGATCAAAGTTTAATGCAAGTGAAAAATGGCATTCCATGTATACCCCTATAATAAATAAAGTGGCGGCCGAAATGGAAGGGGTAAAAGAAATTACTGCAAGTACAAAAAAGCTAAATTTGATGTGATAGCTGCAAAAGAAGGGATAATTTCCTGCAAAAACCCTACTTACATAAAAACTTCCCTCCGAAATTTCCCTCCCTTTTTAGCATCTATAATTACACTTTCTAAAAGAAGAATTTACTACACATAGCACGCACACACAACGCACTAGACTACACACGGACTACATGCAATGTATGGTAGCCAACATAAATGTTGCCCAGTCTTCTTCTTCCCCTTCTGCACCTTCCATAAATGAAGATTTGGCTTCATCTTCATTAACTGCTTCTGCACCTTCCATAAATGAAGATTTGGCTTCATCTTCATTAACTGCTTCTGCACCTTCCATAAATGAAGATCTGGCTTCATCTTCATTAGGCTCTTCTGCAGATCTACAAACAACAACATAACACCCAAGCTCAAATATCAAAGCAAATAGGTTAGGAAACAAGGAAGAGAGAGAGCTTAATAGATGAAATGCTGATCACTTCTAAAAGAGATTATTCTGGGGCATTACTAGCTCAGAGAGGTCTATTTTCTAAGCTAGTTCCTAAAAACTCAGTGACAAGAAGAACTATTTTCAACATTTGGAATACAGCCAAAGAGCAACTTGAAAACGGGGATGTTGTAGATGTAAGTACAAAGTGGGTGGGAAACTGAGGCAGAGAAAGAGTCATGTTTGATGTTAGTCATATTGCAGAAATCCCTCTCCATAAAAGGACCAACATAAATGCACTTGCCTCTGCCTCTTGACTGTCGAAGTCAACCATTCACAGGCTGGTTAGCAGAGGTATTCTCAGAAGTCAAACTAATGTTATAAATCCTTTGCTAAGTGACACAAACAGGATGTCAAGACTGAATTTCTGAGTTGGTTGAAAGCTCAAGCTTGGGATTCTATAGAGGTTGAGTCGGACTCTTTTTAGCAGTCTCGGAAATTCAAAGTGGCTCAAGCTTGTCGTATGGTGGAGTGATTGCGGATGACATTAGAGATATCAGCTTGGAGTTTAATAATATATCTTTTTCTTTTGTTCGGCGTTCAGCGAACAAAGTCGCACATACATTAGCCAAAGCGGCTTGTTCTTTGTCTGAAAGTCAGATTTAGTTGTTTACTCCTCCGAGTTGTATTGTTGACGCTTTATCTTTTGATTTGATTAATGCTAATTAAATTTGTTGGGGCCAAAAAAACTCCATCAAAACCAGTTTTTATAAATTTTCATAACTGCATACACATAGATGAAAATGGTTTTTCTTGTCCAAAACATCACAAAGATACTACATGGGCCTACAAGAGCACGATCCACATAGAGTATGCAAATCCAAAAGATTCATAACTAAAGTTATGTCACTAGGAGCAGTTGGTAGGCCTCTATTTTCAGAAAATGATGATGTTCTTCGGGATGGAAAAATTGGTATTTTCCCATTTGTTGAGAAAGTGGCAGCTACAAGAAAAGGCAAAAAAAGAAATGCAGGGATCATGGAAACCAAGCCTATACTTAGCATTACAAAAGCAGTGTTTAAAGACATGCTAATACACACCGTGCTACCTACAATCAAGGAAAAATGGCCAGAACAATTAAGCAAGGAAATCATTATCCAATAGGATAATGCAAGGCCACACATTCTAGATTCTGATCCAGATTTTATGGTTGCCTCTAAAGCTGATGGGTTTAACATTACCCTTACTAATCAACCCCTTAATTCCCCAGATCTTAACTTTCTAGACCTTGGATTTTTTAGGGCAATCCAGTCTCTAAAAGACCAGAAAGCACCGAAGAATGTGGATGAATTGTTACAGGGAGTTGATGAGGCATTCTATTAGCTTTCACCCATGACTCTCAACAAGGTGTGGCTTAGCTTTCAATATGTGATGTTAGAGATTTTCAAAGTGGGGGGGGGGGGGGGGGCAACTACAAGTGATAGTACAGAATTTTTATTGTTTATGTTTGTAATTTTAACTAGTTTTATTTATTGTTTGGGAAATTACACACTTTTGGTGTAATACTTTATTTTTCCTATTTGTTTGTAATTTGTATAGATTAGGATTATTCTGAGCTTTAACTAGGTGAAGATCGTCAAAAAGATCCTTGGAAAGGTCAAGGAAAGTGAAAAGGGAACAAGATCAAGTGAAAATTTGGGGAAATAGTCATTTACCCGATCGAGTATTGACTTGTCCGAAGATTTGGCAAAGATTTGTCTTTTACCTGATCGGGTAATTAAAAAACCCGATCGGGTATGATGTGACAAATGAAGATTCCGGACAATTACATAGAAAACCCGATCAGGTATTTCAAAAACCCGGTCGGGTAAATGGCACTGTCACCTCCAAACACCTATAAATACACCCGTTTTCCTTCCCATTTGATCATCAATTTCTATACACTTCTAAGCTCAGTTTAGATAAGTTCTTTCTTTATATTTTTCATCATGTTTAGTCTCCAAATGAGGAGCTAAACTCTTCCATCTTGGTTTTGCTTCTTTGAAGCTTAATGAATTGTAAGTTGTGAGTTATTTTCTTTTATCTTCTTCCTTGAATATTAATTAATTTCTATTCCTATTTCATATTAATATTTTGAGCATTACTTAAAGGATCAATTAGTTTTGTTTCATATATTAACTATTACTAGAATCGATCGATTAATACGCTTGTTATTCATTCGATCCTTTTACGGTAGTAAACTTGGGTTATAAATGCATGCATCTCATGGTTAATAACCGAAGGGGAATTAATTATATAGATTAAAGCGATAAAATGCTTGTGTTGAGGTTATCAATCTCAATCGTTTTTATCTTGATTTTATTGCTACTATCGGGTTTATATACGGCTCATGTTCTATATTAATTCGGTAGTAATTTTTATTAATGAACTTGTCTCGTTATTAATAACTACCCTTGATGAAATGGATATACTCCTCGATTGAGTATTTGAGAGAAAGATAGTTAAAGATATAACCGGGATCGACGAACATTTCATTAAGTCAATAAAAGCAAAACCAAGTCTTCAAATGCATTAAAGTAAACTCATATAAGTCGTTCATATTCGTATTTAATTAATTAAATCAAATCAAACTAAAACCTCCCTTTGTTACTAGTTACATAAAAGAGAAGCATTCTCTTTCCATGTGGATACGAACCTTACTTCGTTATACTACATATAATTTTTGTATTGTATTATTATTTTGAGTGCACACCACGATAAAGTGCACGTCAACAAGCTACCATATAATGCAGAAGGAACTCTGCCCACAAGCATAGAGGTTGGTGTGGAGCTGCTTGATGTTGTAGGAGGTCTTTTATCCCAACCAGTAAATACCACCAGTACTAATCATGACTCGGAAGAGCCAAATAATGGGGTGTTCATACTAGAAGATGATGAGGAATAGTTCATCTTCATTCATGAACCCTATCCATTATTGTAAAGGCCCGATTCATTGTCATTTTGTAAAGGCATATACTTATTTAAATTTAGAAAAGGTCACAGTTTTTGTCATTTTGGGAAGGCCTATATTTTTGGTATATTGTAAAGGCCTATTTTTGTGAATTAGTACTTGCCTGTATTATTAGCTACTCAGAATTGAATTCATCATTGTAGCATAACAAAAATATTGCTTAGATTACACATTTTCATCATAGCAACATGCCTCACACAAACCATGATTACACCTGGTATAATGCTTGCTCAGACCACATGTGATCATCATAGCAGCATGCCACAGGCCTTGGTCAGACCAAGGGTGGTCATCATAGCAGTCTCACATACCAACCAAACATACATAACATCACATATTACACACATATTCATCACAGACAACAACCAACTATTGCTCAAGCAGTATAGAACAATACCAACCAAACATACATACCATGCTTAGACCTGGGCTAATGCTTGTTAAAACCTGGGAAGGTCATCATACCAGCCTGCCACAAGCCTTGCTCAGACCTGGGATGGTCAACATAACATCCTGGGCTAATGCTTGCTTAGATCACATGTGGTCATCATTGCAGCCTGCCACAAGGGTTATTGAGACCTGGCATAGTCATCACAACATAGAATAATACCAACCAAACATGCATACCATGCTTACATCTGGGTTAATGCTTGCTAGGATCTGGGAAGGTCATCATACCAGCCTGCCACAAGCCTTGCTCAGACCAGGAATGGTCAACATAGCAACCTGGGTTAATGCTTGCTCAGACCTGGAATGGTCATCACAGCAGCCTGACATACCATCCAAGCATACACAACATCCAAAGCATCCTCAAATATTCATCACAGATGACAACCAACAATTTCAGTCCTAAACATACCATACACTCATCATTATTGCTACCCCAAATTCAAACACTTTCACATAAGAAAAGGACCATTCATGCAATGAAGCAAAATCGGTCAGACACATGAAATCAGGAGGACAAGTTAAGATAGAAACTCCCCTGTTATGTGTCGATGTCCCACATCCTAGACTCCCAGCCATTTATAATGATTTTTAAGAAGGCCTCCAAACGGGGTTTGCGAATAGGGTGGTTTTGCACCTCTCTCCGTCTTCTTGAGGCTTCAGACTCTGGAACTTCATCCATCTCCTTATGCTCTTCACTGTCCGGTATCACAGCCTCTGTCGGAAGTTGACCATGTTCGTCGTCCAACTCTTCTTCACTGTCCGGAACCACCAGCTCCAACAAACCTTCACCGTTTACCTCGTCCGACTCCTCTTCGCTATCCGGAACCACAAGATCCTCCATGCATTCATTGTATTTCACCGGATCTTGAACAAAGGTCCGAGAGCTTGATTTTGCATCCATGGAAGTCAGATCTAGGGGTTGGGAATTTCAGAAAAGGAGCAACGATTAAATCGACGAAGGAGCTAGGGTTTAATTGGAATGGAAATCAGAGAAGGGGAGAGTATTAATCCGTACAAGAATGGAGGAGTGGAAGACGGATGAAGGTTAGATCGAAACTGGGAAAGAGAGAGAAGGAGACAGATGGATTAGGGTTAGATGTGATGGGCACAGATAGTATAGGGGTGGAGAGATAAAGAAGTAGGAAGGTAAATAATTAATAGGGGTAAAAGGGGGTTTTTAGTTGGGGAAACTTTCCATTTTTAGTAACTGGGAAGAATGTTTTTGGGACAACCCAAAAACAACAGTGGGAAGAACTTTTTGGGACGGAGGGAGTACTACTTTATTTCTATGCATTACTCGTGTATAAAATATTCCACAGAAGTGATGGAACTCAACTTAGCTCTGATGGCTAGGGATTGAGTGCAACTGTCCCTATAAGGTTTATGCTCCAGATTGAAATGGGTTTAGCTAGAGTTATCAATTAAATTTTTATGAGACAATCTTGAGCAACACTGAGCATCTTCATATATGTGAAGTAGAATGTCATTCTTGCAAGGGATTGCTCTAGGGGAATCGAGCTAGGACATCCAACATTAATTTAAAAGTATCAAAAATGGAAGTTCAGTCACTCTAGATTTAAATTGTTTTCTTAATAAACTAAATTGAACTATAGATTTAGTAGCAGAACATAAAAGAGAATTTTAGGAGGGGAGAACATTGTTCGGTAAAATGCTTCAACAAGATTATAGGACTACATACGGATCAACCTTCCAACATACTCTTCGTGAAGGAAATTGGACCGCACATTATCTGTACAACAGACATTTAGACTCTTCATTTGTTTTTCATTTGCGAGCAGTTAATTTACCATTTATTGATAGAAACGTTTTATTCTTAGATGCTTATGATATTTCACACTTTGTGATCTTTACGAGTAAGGTCTAATCCCCGTCTTTTGTATTTTGTATTTTTTTAAATAAACTTGATAAATATTCCTCATCATTTATCTCATCGAAATTAAAGATGGTTTTTGCTTAGCAGGACCAAGAATGATAATAGAATTACATGCAATTAGTGAGTTTCAATGGCTCCAGTAGCCACAGCCATGGTTTAATTTAGGGGAAGGATTCCAATTTCCAAGAGAAGCCTCAATTTTTTTTATATCTATTGACAGATTACCCAAATAGTCCAAACTCGTGTACCTACTCGATCGATCACTTCGTATAATAGATTGAGTGGGGAGGAAATGAATTACTGGTTCTAAATCTCAATGAATTGGTAATTTAGAACCCCAAATCACCAAATTCAAACTTAAAACTATTAGATCTGAAACATGTGAGATCATATAAAACTTCCTCACAGACCTCTGAATTTGATCTATAAATACAATGTAGCACTAATTAAAAGCTAAAATATTATCTCTCAAGTTTGATATGATCTGTTTAAGTCTGTTCTGATTTGATTTGGTCTGTGGAGTGTAAACAGACCAAGTAAATACATCAATCCATTAGCAAAACATACATCAAAGTGTCTAGACTTCATTTTGAGTACGACCAGTCGCATTGTTGTCTTGACACACATGGTATTGCACTATATGCAGTCAAGATTCGTGAAAAAATAAAAAATCATAAATTTTTACCTTCTTTAATTTCATGATCAAATGGACATTTTGGTAGTACATAATTTTCTCTTAAAACGTCCAAGGTCAGACTCTAATTAACACCGTCCCATGTTTCATTATATTGTTTTGTATTATTACTCCTACTTATTTCATCTATATTTGTCTCATTTTATCTTTTTAGTCCATCTCATTAAACTTTACCTATACCGTATTTTAAAGTATTTGGGTAGTTATAATTCATTCACTTGATTCACATTTTATTTATCACATAATAAGTTAATAACATCTTAATCTGTATCGTCGCTTTCATTTTTTAGTTCCCTAAAAATGAATATTAAATGTGTGGTGACAATACTAGCTAGGAGAACTAAATAGTGTCGGGCCTGGGTATTAAAAACAGGCTATCAATTAATGGGCTACTGACCTATGGGCAATGGTGATATCTGATATGCATTCAAACAAGTGGAAATTACACGTACGGTCTCTTTCTTATATCCTCTTATCGTTTATGTCCCAACTCCTTTTTGTTTTCATATTTAACTTTTTTATTTTCACTTTGCTTTTTTTATTTCACTTTTAGACTTCTACCCACCTCTTGTAGAACCGTAGAATAGTCGTTGGCATCTTATATTCTCGTTTCTCATCACCGTATGGGTGATAATTAAGTCCGTATTTAAACACGCATTTGATGCGCGTTGGAATCGACTTTTGATGGTTTTCCTAAGTATAAGGTGTTGCAAGTCTCAATTTTAGCTCAAATTATGTTTACCAAGCGTTGGTTCGAGTTTTGTGTCATTTGGAGTCAAAATCAGGGAATTTGAGTTCGAAATCGGCACTTGAGAAGTAATCGGGATGATTCAAGATGTATTCAAGAGTGGATTGAGAGCTTTGGACATCACCGGGAGGTTTACGATGAAGATTTGATGACGAAAGAGCTCTAAAATTGACTATGGGATCAAAAGAAGACGAATAGAGCTTGAAAACGACGATCAGGATGATCATCTGTCAATCGTTCAAGCATATCTCTTTGTATAAGAATCCAAAAGCCACGATTCAAGTTTCATATGAAATCCAACTTCAAGGGCTACAAATAATATGAAAACACCATTGCGAGAATCTGAGAGAAGCAAGGTGAAAACAGACGATGAAGTCAGATGATCTCTGTTGCGATTTCAGAATGCCACCTTCCACCATGTTATTCATGTCTCTTGATTGGATGATTAAAATCCAATTCCACAAGTTGTGGTGGATAGAGGACTTCATTATCGACAACTTTGGTGAAGGAAGAATTCTATAATTCGAATAGGAAGCACGCGCGACGAGCGCCCGAAGAATGCACGGAAGCCCCTGTGAAGAAAAAAGCCAGGCATGATCGTGCCTAGCAGACAGGCACGCCGTGCCTGTAGAAGAAACGGGTGCCCAACCTCTGGAGATCAGAAACAGTCGTGCCTGGCCCTAAGCACGATCGTATCTGCCTTCGAAAAATCCTATTTTCGCCCAGATTATCCCATTTTTGTCCCAGTTCAGCCCAAACTCATCTGTTTTCTATAAATAAGGTCTCCCTTCTCCTGTTTAGTGGTTAGGAACATTACGGAGATGCCTAGGGATGAAATTACTTACGTTTTTATCATTGTTTACTCCAAAACCCTGGGATTATTTGTAAGTTCATCTTTTTAATTAATGACAATTATTTCTATTCATCCCAATTCTATTGATTCTTCAATTATGAATTGTGAGTAGTTTAATTAGGGATTTGGGGTTGATGAATGGGTTAATCATGATGTATGGCTAGAATCTTGATGGTTTAATTGCATGAAGTCGTTTAATTTGTGTTTGAATAATTTAACTGATATCTCTTGTAACCTAAAACGGCCGCTAGAATTACAATTGCTTGTAGAATAAATTAAGAGAGATCTAGTTTATTCTAAGACACATTCACACACACTTAATTATTTGCTAAGAGATTAGTAGCGGTTAAGGGGCCGTAAGCTCGCTCGTCTTGGCAATAATTTAAGATCCTGTCACATGAGAGATCAGCCTGGTCCCCTAAATTATTGTATTCTACACCGCGAGAGCGGTAAGAACTTAGTAATGATTTGCTAGGCTCAATTAAATTAATTTCATGTAATTAGGCATGATCTGCCAGAAATCTGGTTACCCCGGAATCAATCCTTGTTCCTTTCGTCGATAATTAGAGAGAAATCAATCTTTTATTTTAATCGCTCATTCGCATTAGTTTTATTTTCCAAACCTTTCATCTCGCACTATCGCATTTATTTTATTTATTTTTTTTATTGCTGAATTTAATTAATTCTTGATTCCCTTTTGTCCGTCCCTATGGAGACGATACTCGTATTTTCACCACTATATTACGATTTATTTTAAGTGGGAATGGATGATGGGGCTTTGTTCGAATTCCTCATAATAATGTAGTTATACAAGCGTAATCTGACAGCCAGGTGGTAAATCTGATGGTCTCCAGGATGGGAATAGAGAGCGCAGGCTTCTATGTGTTTCCGATGCAGATAACAGAGTGGATCTTCTATCGACGTCTAGGTCATAGCTTTCACTTTGCAAAACAGAGTGCTCAGGGGACATGCAGTTTTGGAGCGTTGAGCAAAGTTTTCGGTGGGGTAGGATTTGAAGCTAGGCACATACGGTCAGGGACGGATCTAGGGGGGGCGCGGGGGGGCGGTCGCCCCCCTTGGGATTTTTTTTTTTAATAGTATATATATATATATTATTTAGGGGAAAAAAAATTATGAATGTTCGCCCCTGTTAGATCGTAGGATTTTCTTAAGTAGTTATGATTGGTTTTTAATTTCCTATCAAACTTTATAGATTAAATAATTACTCAAACATACTTTAATTTTATGAAGTATTTTACTAAGCTGAATAATTTCCTAAGCATTTAGAAATTAAAATTTTGAGTGTTTGAGGAATACAATGGGCCGCATATATGGTATTGGGCCAGCAAATTGAAAATTAAATTAGAAGAAGGAATAAAAAAATTCTAATGCACTACTCCCCAAAATCTAAATCCCTAAATCTGGGGCTTAGGGGCGTATATTCACGAAGGATGGAACGATTGAACGAACCCATTCAACCTCAAGCATGAAGCGGCACTCCCAGAACACATTTTGCAAGTTTGCGGCGATTAGCCGAATACAAACCCTAGCTTGAGTAGCTTCAGTAGCTTTAATTTTGAGGAGAGGTAAATCTAAACACTATAATCATCTTAATCTTTGATACTTTTCGAGTGACTGAGTAATTACTAATTTACTATAATTTGTCTCTTTTATGCATTCTATTGCACTATCAGCCTGTTAGTGTCACACATAACACATTAGCTTGCCCTGGATTAGTCATTTAGTTGCTGTCTTGCTTGATTTTCTCCACAGCCCACAGCCTCCCCTCTGCCAGGTTTTTCTAATTTTCTCAAATCTCAACTGTTATTTAAATTTCCTTTGTTAAATTTTTATATTTGATGCTTTACATTAAATTCAGAATTATTTGTGAATTATAATTGTTATTTGACTTATTTAAGTGATTAAGTTTTAATACTTTACATTAATTTCAGAATTTTAATTATGGGTAACAAAAAGATTTCTTCATATTTTTCCAAGAAACCTGTACCAAGTAATGACCAGCCAAATCTATTGCCTAGAGACCGTGATGAAGAAGACAACATAGCTTCTTCACAAGAGGGTGAACGACCATCCAAAGTTCCTAGAGTTGAAATTAATGCTTTCGATATCTCAAGTTTGGAGCGAGATCCTGGACTTCGGAGATTAATTTGGGATTATGATCCTAATAAACAAGAAGAAGTTCGCCGAGCTTATATCAAACTTGGACCATTTCAGCCAATTCCCCCAAAATCTCCTAATTTTGTTGATAAGAATGGGCGGCGATTTCTTCCATCTTGGTATAAGTTATATCCAGATTGGCTTGAGTTTTCACCAAGCAAGAATGGCGCTTATTGTTTACCATGCTTCCTGTTCAATAAGCCATTTGGTCGTCATGGGAACACTTTTACCGTTGATGGATTCCGTTCATGGAAGAAAGTTAATGAAGGATCTCAATGCCCTCTTTTTAATCATGTGGGAAAAGATCCGAACTCTTTGCACAAGAAAGCTATTGAATCCTATCTTGACCTTAAGAACTCTTCCCAGCATATTGAAAGGGTCATTGAGAAACAAACTTCAGAACAAGTTGCAAGAAACCGGTTACAACTCAAAGTATCAATTGATGCTGTCATGTGGCTCACTTTTCAAGGTTGTGCATTTAGAGGCCGAGATGAGACAGTAGACTCAAAAAATCGAGGCAACTTCCTTGAACTAGTAAGATTGCTAGCATCTTACAATGAAGAAGTGAAATCAGTTGTGTTAGAGAATGCTCCAAGAAACGCTTCATACACTTCTCCAAGTGTTCAAAAAGAGATTCTATCTGTTCTGGCAACTAAGATCCAACAATATATTCGAGAAGAGATTGGCAATTCAAAGTTTTGCATACTAATTGATGAAGCTCGTGATGAGTCCAAGAGAGAGCAAATGGCGATTGTATTGAGATTCGTTGATAAAGAAGGCTTCATCCGTGAAAGATTCTTTGATATAGTTCATGTTAAAGAGACTACATCTTTAGCTCTGGAGAAAGAAATTTCAGAGGTCCTATCTCGTCATTGCCTTAGTGTTAAGGATATTCGAGGACAAGGATACGACGGAGCTAGCAACATGCGTGGTGAATGGAATGGTTTGCAAGCCTTAATTTCACAAAAGTGTCCATTTGCCTATTATGTTCATTGCCTTGCTCACCGACTCCAGTTAACCTTGGTTGCTACTTCCAAAGAGGTCATTCCGGTTAATCAGTTTTTCTCATATTTGTCTACCATTGTTAACTTGGTTCTTTGCTCTTGCAAAAGAATTGATCAATTGAGAGACTTCGAGTCATTACGTATTGAGGAAATGATTAACACCGGTGACATTGAAACTGGAAAGGGGAAGAATCAAGTTGGCACTCTCCAACGTCCAGGAGATACTCGTTGGGGTTCCCATTTAACCTCACTTCGTAGTTTACTAAGGATGTTTAATTCTACTTGTGATGTGTTACGAGACATAATTAAATCTGGGAGCTTGACACAAAGGAGTGAAGCTGATGGAGTGTATGATGTGATGACATCTTTTGAGTTTGTATTTATTTTACATCTCATGATTGATGTGCTTGCCGTGACAGATGATTTATCTCAAGCTTTGCAGCGCAAATCTCAAGATATACTCAATGCAATGCATTTGGTGTCATCAACAAAAGATCTTCTCCAAAAAATGAGAGAACATGGATGGGATTCCTTACTTGATAAAGTGAAATTATTCTGCCCACAACATGAAATAGAGATCCCAGATTTCAGTGCTGCATATAAAGCTGGGCGAGGTCGACCCCGCCTTCAAAGGAACAACAGAGACTTTCTTACGGTGGAGCATCACTATAAATTTGATATATTTAACTCTGTTGTGGATAAGCTTATGCTTGAACTGAATTATCGCTTCAATGAGGATGTGGTAGAGTTACTTGTCCTTAGTTCTGCTTTGGATCCGAGAGACGATTATAAGTCTTTTCAGATTGAAGACATATGCAAACTTGTGAGCAAATTTTATCCTGATGACTTTTCTGTAATGGAAAAGGAACACTTGAGGATTCAGTTGGAGCATTTCAAATATGATGCTAAAAAAAATCCGGAGTTGAAGAAAGCATCAACACTAGCAGAATTGTGTGAATTATTGACGAAGACTCAAAAGTCAATAATTTATCCTCTTCTTGATAGGGTAATCCGCCTCTTGCTAACACTTCCGGTTTCTACTGCAACAACAGAAAGGGCATTTTCAGCCATGAAAATTGTGAAGACATGCCTCCGAAATAAAATGGAGGATGACTTTCTTTCAACGTACTTGGTGACATATATAGAGAGAGACATAGCTCGGGGGTTTTCAGTGGATTCTCTTATTGATGACTTTGATCTTTTAAAGAACCGAAGAGCTCAGTTTAGAATGCCCAACTTTCGTACTTAGAAGTGGTAGAATAACGATATCTATTTTGTTGTTCTTTTTTGTTGGAATTATGTGAAATATGCCACATTTAGTGATCTGAACACTTTTGGCAAATATATGCTACATTTTGTAATATTAAAATTTCGCCCCCCTTGACTGAATATCCTGGATCCGTCCCTGCATACGGTTGCCGATTGGGACTTGCAACCAGTTTCTGGCCTGAAATTACTCGAATGATATGGGGGCATACCAATAGCAGCAGGTCACACCAGTCCCACGGAAGATATGCAATAAACACAATGGATAGCATCATCTTCCGTGGCTATAATTTTTTACGTGATCTAGCACGCAATTGTTTATTATACCTTACCCTTGATTCCTCTTCTATTGGGATGAAGTACGTGAATATTGTTATGTGTTGTGTTGTCTACAATTGGTGACCACAACATCTTATCATTAAAGGGTCATACCTAGCTCTTTGTTAGCTTCATGAAAACACATGTATATTTCATATTGTTATTTCCTAAATAATTTGCCCATCATAATAAAAACGGTTATAATTTTTGGCATCTGCATATCATATTTCATGATAGAAACATTTAATTGTAATCATGTGGCTTAAATACGTACTAGTATTTAATTTTCTAGCTAGAGGATGTTAGTATATGTTGGAAAAATGTGTTGAAATTGCATTAAATGGTAATTTTGGGGTAATTTTTTGAGCGGGGTCCACTTCCGATTTGGGTCAGGTCAAAGTGGTTTCGGACTGTCCTTGTTAAGGGCTACAATTCGATATATGGTACGCTCAAAACGGATAACGAGTGAATGAGAAATTGATTCTCGAAGTTTACCCGTTTGAATGGAAAAACTGAGAAAAAGGATGAGTTTCTGGTGTGTTATTTCCCACACCGGAAAACCCAAGGGATTTACGACCCTTTATAAAGGGACTCTCCCCTTAAGGAGTTATGGTTCCTAAGGGTAAAGGCTCTCTCCACGCGCGCAGGGTGGTGCAAATCAAATCCCGAAATCGGAGAAGAAAAATCGCGACTTGCGTGCGCGGGCGACCTGCGGACATGGATGTCGTCCAAATCTATCTCTCAAGAGATACGGTGACCCAACGTTCGTCTCTTTTAATGCAGCGTTAAAAGGACAGTTCATGGACGATTCAATGCCCAACGGACTGGTCATTGATGTCCAACGTTCAGGTCCATTAATTCACCATTTACACACAACAAATCCTCCTATATAATGACTGGGAGGTGATTTACAACAACACACGTTCTTACATACACGAGCTCATGTATTTGAGGCAATTTCTGCTCCATCTTATTTCTGTTTTCTTTCGTCATTTTAATTAATTTATTTTAATTAATTTTCTTTATTTTCCGAAACACACCCAACAGTATATATATAGAATACTAAGAATAGAGCGTCTACATACGCAAAGACATATACGAAGTATATATATATATATATATATATATATATATATATATATATATATATATATATATATATATATATATATATATATATGAAAAAAGAAAAATATACTACGTGTGTGTATACAGGGCCGGCCCAGAGCATGTTTGGGCTGTGCGACCGCACAGGGCCCAAAAAAATTGAAGGCCCAAAAAATAATATTCTTAACGTAATATAGCTAGTTCTCAAATGAAGCAAATAAAAAAACTCTCTGGCGGGCCTTCCATTGAGGCGTTTATAAAATGCTTCGGTGGCCCAATAAACAAGAGTTACAATTTAAATTGCTTCTCGCATGGGAGAAAGCCTATTTATAGAACACTGGGGGCTAAGGAAATTTTCACTAACCGGTGTGGGATAGGAAATTGAACAGGAGAAGAAGAAAGGAAAGCCCTTATGCTACAGAATTACAGAGTATTTCTTGGACTTTTCATGCCCGTCCACTCTTCCAGATCACCATCACTCCCAATGCTAGCTAATTGATTTTGTTTCATACAAATATTATAAAGTTATTCTTTGAACCTCTCACTCACTGCTTACCGTTCTCACTATTTCGTAAAGTTATTCCAGTTCGTAGTATATCTTTTTTTTAAAGTGGATTTTGTAAACAAATAGTTTCATTTTGATTGTTTTAATTTGTAAATTAATAACTTGTAATTGTTATTGGGGTTGTCTTCCAGCTCAGGTCTCAATATTCATCCACAAAGGATGATAAACCACTATAGTCACTAAGGGGAAAAGGGGGCGTCAGCCTTCAAGCTACTATCCGGCCAATTCGTCCACGTAGGAGCAGCAGTTCGGATTTTTAGAGAAGAAGGGTTTTTCGGCCGAGAGACATTTAGTCCCCATGTCAGCAGGATTAAATTCCGAAGGAATTTTAATCAACTTGATATGACCTGCACTCACAATATCACGTATAAAATGAAATCTAACATCAATATGCTTAGTTCTATCATGAAAAACAGGGTTTTTGCACAGTTGAATAGCAGATTGACTATCAGAAAACACACAAATGTCCTGCTTAAGATTACCAATCTCCGTTAAGAGACGTTTAAGCCAAATGGCTTCCTTAAACGCTTCGGTAGCGGCCACATACTCAGACTCAGTGGTGGATAGGGCAACTATGGGTTGAAGTTGAGACTTCCAACTAATGCAAGACCCGCAAAGGGTAAACACATAAGAGGTAGTGGATTTCCTATTGTCTCTATCATTAGCAAAATTCGAATCCACATACCCACTCAACTTAACCCCCTCAGAACACCTAGTGAAAACCAACCCATGATTAACAGAAGATTTCAAGTACCTCAGCAACCACTTAAGAGCATTCCAATGATCTAAACCAGGATTAGACATATACCTACTCAAGCAACTAACAGCATAGGCAATGTCGGGTCTAGTACTCACCATGAGATACATCACGGACCCAATAGCATTGGAATAAGGCACAGATTTCATTTTAGCAATTTCAGGAGCAGTCTTGGGAGACTGATCCTTACTTAACACAAAGTGAGACGCCATCGGGATAGAAACGGGAGTAGCAGAATGCATGTTATATTTACTCAAAATCTTTTCAATATATGAAATCTGATTGAGAACTAACACACGCTTACTCCTATCCCTAACAATGTTAATGCCTAGGATCCTTTTGGCATCACCTAGGTCTTTCATAGCAAAGTTCTCACTGAGACGCTTTTGCACACATTTAATGGCGTCAACCGAAGGACTAACAATCAACATATCATCCACATATAGCAATAAAAATACAGGCACAGAAGAGGTATTTTTAAAGTATAGGCAATGGTCGCATTCGGACTTGTGAAATTTCAAAGATGACATGCACTGGTCAAATTTGATATTCCACTGCCTCGGGGACTGCTTCAGGCCGTACAAGGCCTTCCTAAGCAAACACACATGATCACTCTTCATGGGATCCACAAAGCCCTCAGGCTGCGACATATAGATTTTCTTATCTAAATCACCATGCAAGAATGCAGTGGTGACGTCCATTTGCTTCATTTCCCAATCATTATGAGCAACAAGAGCAAGCATCATTCTAACCGTAGTAAATTTAACTACAGGAGCAAAGATTTCAGCATAATCAACACCTTCCTTTTGAGTAAATCCCTTAGCTACCAACCTAGCCTTATATCTAATGTCGTTAGGCTCTTCCTTAACCTTAAACAGCCACTTACAGGCAACAACGGAACTATTGGGCGGTCTAGGAACTAACGTCCAAGTCTTATTCGCTCTAAGTGACTCCATCTCACTTTCCATGGCGCAAAGCCATTTAGCGGACTCATTAGACTTAAGGGCCTCTCTATAGGTTCTAGGTTCGTTAAGCTCAAGGGTCTCAAACACAGAGAAAGCAAACATAGAAGTATCACACATATGGAAAGCATAATCAGGCATACTATCAGCAGTTCTCCTAATTACTCTCCTACCTCTATCTCTAGCAAGTTGATAATCATGCAAATCATTCTCACTAGCATCCTCACTCTCATGATGCGATTCATTGTCATTTGAATGCACATGAGAATGCTCCACCTCACTCGAAGTGGTGGTAGTATCATGCTCAGAAGAATCAGAATCATGCAATTCAGAAGAATTAGAATCATGCAAAACAACATTATCATGATTAGCAAACAAAGGGCTAGCAGCACGTGGTATGGACTCCACCTCAACGGGTGTACTACTAGGATCAGACTCAGACTCAGGAACTGACTTAACCAGACAAGGAAACTCGGATTCATTGAAAACAACGTTTCTACTCACCACAACTTTGAAACCTACCTGGTTCCTATCCCAAACCCTATACCCCTTCACACCCTCGGGATAACCTAGGAAGACTCCTTTCTTAGACCTAGGATCCAACTTGTCACCTTGTTGGTGCACATACGCTGCACACCCAAACACTCTAAGATTAGACAAATCAAGGGGTTTGTTTGAAAAAACAGATTCAGGGCACTTCCCACCCAAGGGAACAGAAGGAGACCGGTTAATCAAGTAGACAGCAGTGTTAACTGCTTCACCCCAAAACTTTTTAGACAAACCGGCGGTGGCAAGCATACTCCTAACCTTATCTAGAACAGTCCTATTCATCCTCTCGGCTATCCCATTTTGTTGGGGAGTATAGGGCACAGTTTTGTGCCTTCTAATCCCACAATCAACACACAGTTGGTCCATATCCTTATTGCAAAACTCTAGACCATTATCTGTCCTAAGGATTTTGATGAGAACCTAGATGTGTTTAACAAGCTTATTCAGAACATTAAGCAAGCCGGTGATAAACACATAGATGACTACACGCCCATAGTGTTACTTAATGCCATCCCTGACTCATACAATGACGTCAAATCTGCCATAAAGTATGGTAGAGACGATATCTCGTTAGATATAGTCGTTAATGGATTAAGGAGTAAGGAGTTAGACCTTAGACACTCGAGGGGTAGTAACAGTCAGTCTAGGGACTCTGGTGA